AGATAACTCCAATCTCCAAGCGTTAGTATTCGTATGGAGAAGCTTTATCAAAGCACATCGGTCAGGGATTAGATGATTGACATTTGATATAACATTTCAATTGAAAACTCAACACGAGCATCTTCTTACAGGTTATTGTCAGAGTTTGGTTTCAAAGAATACTTAAAAAAGATACATGTGGTTAATTTTCAAATTGCATTAACAAGATACCGATTGTCAGCACACAGATTAGCAATAGAAACAGGCCGATGGCACAAACCAAATAAACCTAGAAATGAAAGAAAATGTTATGTATGCAAAACTTTTGAAGACGAGTTTCATTTTTTACTGGCGTGTAGTGTATATAAAAACTTAAGAATAAAATACATTGACAGACAGTTTTGGAAATATCCTAATAATAATGAAATTTATTGAAATTATGAAAACATGAAATTAATATACACCTAAGCAACTAGCAACTTTGTATTTAAAGCTTTCGAATTGATACATCAGATATTATTTCAAACCTTACTTTTCTCCTTACCATGTTATTTTTCCCTCTGTTTTCTTTATAGCCTGCATATATGCATGTTAAAATTGTAACGTTTATTTGCTGTTTGAAAACCCATCATTGGATTATTGTTTTGAAAATTGTATAAGAGTATTGTACTATATTAACTCATGTGTTGTAACCTTTTGTTTAATAAACTCTCTCTCTCTCTCTCTCTCTCTCTCTCTCAGTATGTGATCGATTTTCAATGTGTACAAAAAAATATAAGTTTGCGAAAAGTAAAATTTTTACAGAATACATATCTTATAAAGCGGAGGAACAGTGTAAGCCCCCCCCCCCAACTAAAAAAATAAATTAATAAACAACAACAACAACAACAACAACAACAAAAAGCAACAACAACAACAACAACAACAACAAAAGCAATGTATGTATAAACTGCGCTCTATAGCACTCAAATCTTTTATTTCAGATGCCGCAGAGAATCAAGTTCCAGGCGCTCGAATATTAAAGGTAATTTCAAAACACTTTTAACACTTTAAATTGTCTTTTTATAAGTAACAGATACAGATACAAGTGTTGTTTTAAATTTTGTATACTTAGGTTAATTTATTGTTTTGGTGCCCGTCTCAAACAAGTTTAAGAACTATTTTAAGATAAACATAACATCTTGATACCACATGATGTGCAATCTTGAAGAGCATTAGGAAAACATATTCCATTGCACAAACAATAGAACAACTTATCGAATGTAATTGTATTATTTAATGGGAGTATATCATATTTTTTTCTTTATTTTGCTTTTTATTCAACGAAAAATTGTGATTTCCAAGTTTCAGCCATTTGATATAAAATGTTACATGAACACTGTCTATTAAATATTAAACTATGGAATCAGGAGGGGGATATTGTTTTGGCGTGGTTTGACCGTCCTTCTGTCCGTCCGCTCTCACGGGGCGGTAATAATGTGGCTATAGACAATAGGTAACTGTCCTTTTTCTTTAAAGTCGTTCATTCTGTAATGCTTTTATGTGGCTATTTTCTTTTGTGCGGCTAAAAAGAACAACTGAGAGAACACTAGAGTAGCCACATAATCACTGTCCCGTGAGAACGTCCGTCCTCCCGTTCGTCCATCCGTCCGTCCAAATTTCGTTTCCGAGCTAGTTCTCTGCAACTACTGACTGGAATTCAACGAACATTTATGGGAACCATCAATACCAAGGAGATGCACATATTTTAGCCTTGTTCCTGTCAGGTTCTTCAACATAGAGTAATGGCCTTTGATAAGTAATGCAGTATGCATATAGAGCAATAGTCGTTTCCGCGCTACTTCTCTGCAACAAGTGGCTGAAATTCAACGAAACTTTATTGGAATCTTTGATATTAAGAGGAGATGCTCATATCATCGCATTGTTTCGGTCAGACCCTTCAACCTTGTTTAGTTATGTAGTATGAATATAGGGCAATAATCGTTTCTGTGCTATTTCTCTGCAACTTCTGGCTGGAATTCAACGAAACCTAATGGGAACTATCAATACCAAAAGGAAATGCGCATGTCATGGTCTTGTTTGTGTCAGACCATTTAACTTAGATTAATGGTCCTTAATTTGATATGCAGTATGCATGTAGAGCAATATTAGTTTCCGCGCCATTTCTCTGCAACTACTGGCTGGAATTCAATTAGACTTAATGGGAGCTATCAATACTAAGAGGAAATGCGCATATCGTGGCCTTGTACTGGTCAGACCGTTTAAGACAAAGTTATGGCCCTTGATTAGTTATGCAGTACGCATATAAAGCCGCGCTCATTCTCTGTAAGTACTGGCTGGAAATCAATGAAACTTTATAGAAGCAATCAGTACCATGGACAGATGCACATATTTTTGCCTTGTTCCGGTCAGACCCTTCAAGACAGAGTTATTGTCCTTAATTAGTTGTGCAGTATGCATATAGAGCAATATTGCTTTTTGGGAACCATTAATACGGCAAGGAAATGTGCATGCATAAAAAGTCTTATGTCTCCAGTTGTTGTGTAAGTAATAACCAGTACTAAGCGGAAAATATAAAGTCAACGAATTTGCTTGTTTTATACTTTTAATTTACAGCTATCTAACAGCAGCCCATTTAGTTTTGATAAGAGTGGTTAGTATGTTTTATTGTTGTGTATGCCCGTGTTTTCCTTCTGTTCAATTTGGAGCATTTTTCAAGTAGGGTGCTTTCAGTCTTTTTTCAGCTTCTCTGTGTCATGCAGGCTTTATAACCTATAATCTCCTTTCAAATTTCCATTTTATTTAGTTTCGCCTATGGTATTCTCCTTTAGGACACACGCATTTTTATACTTTGTGACCAATGCCGCTTTTCCTGGAATAGCACTTACGTAACACATAGAAGAGTCCATGATGACCGCAAAGGAAAAAAGCTGCAGATGTTTCAAAATTAAAAATTTTACCAGTTCATTGTAAATGTTGAATTCTTCTGAATCTTGTGTATCTTATTTGCGTTATGTTTATTTTTTCTGTATTTTCATTCACTTATTCCCCTACATTTTCTGTGTTATTTTATTTCCTCTGTTACTTGTAACTCATAAAAATACTATGATCTGATTTACAAATGTCATATTCTGTATATTCGTTTTACCTAGTGTTACAATGTACACAAGTTTGCTTCTTTAAAAAGAAGCATGCGAGAGGTATTTTTGCTGCTGTGGAAGATTTGTTTAATGCGTAAAATAATGGGAATATTTTTGCATAAAAGACACAAGGAATGGTTATAAATTACAACTATTTAACAAAAAAGAAATTATTATTATATATATATTGAATATAGTATCATAATGAAAGTTTTTTTATACATGTTTTGAAAGCTTATATGCCGGAGAATGGACTTTTTTCTTGTCGCGTTAGGGATACTTTTTCTACAAAGGGAATTAAAATTAAAATAAACGATATACGAGTAGATCTATATATTAAAAGAAGTATCAAAATTAAAGTCTCTTGCAACATTCAAGAAGTAAGTTTTCGGTATATGGAAACATTTCCTCTACAATTTCCAAAACGGGCATAAAGTATGTTAATCAAACAATTTTAAGTCCAGGGATAACATAAAAAAATGTTATGTTTATGTCATTTGATTGGAATGAACAGTGTATAAAGCTGCATTCATCCAAAAGAAAATCAAACTTGAGTAAAATTTGTACCCTTTGCGCCAAATAATCTCCGTTGCGTAGTTTTTCATACTTAAAATACAGCCGAATAGTTATGAAACTCAGACATGTTGAAAATGAAGAACTTCTTATGTATATTTCATTTTTACCATTTTTGATACCATAAACGAAATAAATAACATACAGAAGTGCCCATTTTTAACTCGACTATACGAAATAAATAGAGCTGTCATAGAATACCGAGCGTCGGAAAATTTTCAATGCATTTATTAAAAAAAAAATTTCGGGCATATTATGTTAATATAACCCTTGGCGTTCGTCCGTCCGTTAGCAATTTGGTTTCCGGAGCATAACTTAAGTTCCATTTGGTCCACAATACTCAAACTTCATAGGATGATTGTACATATAAGGTAGAAGAGCCCGATTGATTTTGGGGTCACAAGGTCAAAGGTCAAGGTCACTATTACCTTAAAACTGTAAACAGTTTCCGGATCATAACTTAAGTTCAATTTTTCCAACGATATTCAAATTTAATAGCATGATTGTCCATCTTGGGGAGAAGATCCATACTGATTTTGGGGTTACAAGATCAAAGGTCAAGGTCACTTTTACCTTCAAACTGAAATCAGTTTCCGGAGCACAAAACTTAAGTTTCATTTGGCCAACAATATTCAAACGTCATAGGATGATTATCCATATTGGGTAGAAGACTTCCTATGATTTTAGGGTCACAAGGCCAAAGGTCAAGGTCACTATTACATTAAAAATGAAAACGGTTTCCGCTCAATAGCTTAAGTATTAATTAACGTACAGCTGTAAAATTATTTTGGATGAAAAGCCAAGTCCAATACATGACCCCTATTGATTTTAGCGTCAAAAGGTCAAAGGTCAGAGTCATAATGATCTATACACTGAAAATTGTGGTTTCTGAAGCATAACTTAAGTTCCATTTGTCCCACAGTGTTCAAACTTCATAGGATGATTGTCAATATTGGGTTGAAGACCCCTATTGATTATGGGTTCACAATGTCAATGGTCAAGGTCACTGTTACTTTAAAACTTAAAATGGAGGAGTGCTTGTTGAAGGAGGTTATAATTTATTTAATTCCCGTGTCTTACAAATGCTCTATCCTTACTAAAAAAAACCAAAAAAACAACAACAACACTTTCGGGCATATAATGCTTCCGTTCGCCTAGCGATGCCCTTGTTTGATAGTTTGTCGGCTTTATGATCAAGAAGGACCCTGCCACAACCTTACAACTTGCCAACCTCTGCATTTAAGAATAATGACTTTATCAATATCTCATTTCTGATATTTTTGTACATTTTGGTATTTAACATTACAGAGAAAATCTCGGAAAATGCTAGTACAACATCCAAAATGGTAACAGGAATAATGGATCAAGAAACGCTGGATAGAATATGCAACAGGTATAATAGAAAAGACAAATTAGTTGTTCAACATTGTGAGTCGATTTGCAAAGAAATACAAAGGAGATACCCCGAATATGTTATTCACGTGTATGCTGCATACAAAAAGGAAAATGAGCGAAAAATCGTTTTTGTCGTAACTGTGATGTGGGATTTTGATCTGAAAGAGAATGACATAGGATACAGAATGATCAAAAGAAATTACGGTGATATAAGTACAGAAGGGATCGACATAAGTACTAGCAAAGAGGAGAAGGAACTGATGATAAGTGCCGAGGAACACAAAAAACTAAGTCTATGTATATCAAAATACTCAGACAAACTAATGGACCACCACAGATATCTAAATGTAATATCTGGAAGTTTTGTGAGGTCAAAAAACTATAAACCAAGCTCGCTCTGTTTAACCAAAGAAAGCTGTATGGCCTTATATGTGTATGTTAAAGGTTTTATACCCATAGAAGAGGATGCATTTCAAACAACATATGACGGTGTTTCAGTCGATATAAGAGAAGGGTTATTTTTTCCTTACGGAATGGCGACAGAGTATCATGAGAATATAAAAATGGGGTGTATGATTACAAGACATACAGGAATGTCTACTAATCTTGGAGGGACTCTTGGAGGATTCATTGACCATCCGTTGTATGGACTATGTTGTATAACATGTGCACATGCAATGATGCGGCCTGAGGAAATGAAATTCTGTGTTGAAAATAAAGGGGAAATAGCCTCGCCACATGTCTATTCTAGTGATATAGTAAACCAGCCGAAGTGTGTAGCTTATCAACATAATAAGATAGGACGCGTTGTACAAGCTATCTACAAAGAAGGTAACCATTCTGAAGCAGGTGTAGAAGTAGCTCTCATTCAAATAGAAGATAGACCACCAGTATCGGGTGAATTCCCAGAGACTACAATTAATGGTATGACAATATTCGTTATAGAATGATGAAATAATAAAATGATATATGTACGTAAGATAAAACCATTGCCAATTATGTAGGGTAAATTAAATGTGTCAGGAACGGTTATTTAATTAGAGGAGGTAACCTTTACAGAAACGATTACTTGGTCAGGGTAGATTATATGTTCAGGTAGCCGTGTCAGGGAAGTGAACTTGGTAAGGGATGGCAACTTGATCAGGGAAGGTATTTTGATCAAAGACGAAAGCTTGGTTAGAAATGATAAAATAGTCAGGAGGGGTTAACTTAGTCAGAGAAGGAAACTTGGTCACAGATTAAAGCTTGTAAGGAATGGTGACTTGATCATGGCAGGTAATTATGTCAGTAATGATAACTTTGTCAGGATGGTCAGAATGGTAAGTTTTCCAGGGAAGGTTAACTCCAATAGCTTGGCCAGTAAATGTTACTTGGACAGGGAAGACAACCTGTTTTCAGGAATGGTATTATGCTCAAGGAAGAAAATTTTGACAGCACCATCACTTGGTCAGGGAAAAGTATTGGTCAGGGAAGGAAACATGCGCAGGAAAGGTAATTTGGGGTGGTCGATCACTCAGATAGGAATTATCTGTTAGTTTTCATCTAAGATGTTCTACAAAAATTAGAAACGAGCGATTAGCGACAAGAGAATGTCTATAATTTATGTCGAACCGCCACGGGCCAAGTGAATACTAACATATTTGATGGTAGGCTTTATTAGGCTTCATTAATATTCACTTACAAATGACTATTCTACAAACGCGGTTCTATGAAGCAATTTGAAAAATAGAAGGCATCGGTGAATGGAATTTGATAAAGTTTCGACTTTTGTTATTCCATAAAACTAACACAGATAATTTTGAAAAAGTACAAGGTTGAACAAAGCTGGAAACAATTGATTATAATATTGTTTTTCCAGCAATTATTTTCTCTTTCAAGGGTAAATTTAGCGCAACAAATTTATTTCAACACAATCTTCAAAACTACTTAAGGTGTTTATTTTAATTATAACATCTTCTTCGGGATCAATTTGCATGTCACTTTCCAACTGTAGCATGGATATTGACTGAATAAATGCCTATTGTGAACTCAGGCACATCTTCGTTAAAGAGACATTATGCTCATCTGTTTCATCTTTAAGTTAAGTTGAATTAATAACATATTTCAAAGACTGGCTATTTTCATGGGAAAAGTTTATGAACTATACATGAAAATAAAATAAAGAAAGACTTCCAACAATGTTGCCTGCAACATTTTCAATTTTGCCGTGTTGTGCTTTTCTTAGGGATTCTAAATTCACTCTATTTCCAACCTTTTTTTAATCACCCAGCGTCGCCGATACTTTTCTAAATGATATATTTATCAATTTCCGTTTGTCACGTGGATTATTGATTAATGTTACATGTTGAGATATAGAATTGCACATATTAAGGGCAAAATGTATTGTCATTATTACCTCTTCATCGTCAATTTTCACTTGGATAAGTAAAATTTAATTTAAAGTTTTGCATGAAACTGTTGACACTATTCGCTTAAAACTTAATACATTTATTTGGAATAATACTGAAAGGTCATTGTCTAAGGCTCCTCACTGTGTATAAAGTTGTTGACTTAAAGCAATTTTTTTGAACTAACAAAATTCTTAATTAATGTTTTGCATGCAGTATCATTCTTTATCACATACCCGTGCTGCATTTGCGACTCTGTAAAATGATATGGCATGGCCTTGCATATATTGACTTCATAGGCGTGATGCAAACATTATGTGAATACCAGCTAAATGTTAACGTGACTCTAAAGGCTGTTCAATGAAAAAAATATATTCTTTTTCACTTAAAGCAATATTTATTTTGGGCATGCTATCAAAAATATTTTATTTTATGCTTCCGAGTGGATTAATGATTTGCACGTGAAATGAAGAGACTTCTTTTATTGATTTTCCTCATGTGGCACCTCAATCTTTTTTGCTTACAATTCCGTCATTGTCATGGCTGTTTAGAGCACTGGCGTTGCCAATAAGAATGAGTTTTTCTTTTACTAAGAAGGCGTCATTTCGTCATTATGAATGAAGGTGTAAATTCAAATGGTATTATCAGAAAATTGCTACGGATCAAATAACAATATTATCCATTGTTTTATAAACGTTAAGCATTTAGTATATGATGGAATTTGTTTTTTTAGAATATCAAAACAACACTTACGAGAAACGACAAAGGTTAAATACTTCATTTCAGGAAAAACAGAGAAGGTTCCATACTCTTTTGAAACTGGGAAGACATGTGGCGTAACAAGGTTTAGAGAAAAAGATCTGTTCAAGTTTGGATGCAAATCAGATTTAACCGTAGGTAGAATAAGAATGACACCACTTTCTGCAAGGAGCTGTCCAGAACTGTTTTGTGGTGGGTTTCGCATCAAACTTTATAATCAGCTTGAAGTAAATACTGAAAAGTTTGCTACGTATGGTGACTCCGGCTCACTTGTTTTCTGTAAGGGAATGTCAGGTCACTTTGAATGTATAGGAATGGTTGAAGGTGGAGTTTCTTATAAAACATGCGTTTTAACCCCGATCCAGTCAATACTTGCTACATTGAAAGTAAGTTCTTTGAAAAACTTTGAAACGAAATCTCGATTCGATGCAATTGAGCACAAACTTGATTCGATAAGTTCAATGCTTGAAGAGTTGGTACGAAAATCTAATGAATGAAAGTAAATATAGTAAAAATAGCTTTGAAAGGCTAATGTATATCAAAGTAATCTGCCCTTGAAAATAAGATTTAAGGCCATGATTATTGTTATCAAATCTAAGATAAAACGTTGAATAAATTCTATGATGTAGTTTCAGTCTGCTATATGCCTATGTCTGACTGTTCCAAACCCCCATAAATGTTAATGTTATTGTTAAATTACACGATACTTTGCATTTTAATTTTCCTCCTTAAATGTTCATATGTAGTTTAAACGTTTTGACGAAATATTTGTTTTCTTTGATGTGTGGCGTTATGAAATGCACATAGACATTTTTACAAGTTCTTGATATCACTATGTTGCTTAGCGTTTTTTATCTACTAGCACATATCTTAATTTTAAGCTTTGTATAAACTGAATGTATCAACGATTTAATAATTTGTATTTTGTTTGTAAGCTTAAATAAAAAATAAATGAGAACAAAAGAGAACAATGTATGAAATACACATGTTGACTTTTCAAAAGGGAATGAAAACAAGTTCTGGCTTAAAAAATGAAATAATCGTGACAAGGATTTTACATTAAGATTTTACAATATTGAATTTTGCTGGGAAAAGTTTGAAAACGAGTCCGAAGAAATAATGTTCGAATCTTTGGCATTATGGGCGATGACAACAAGCAAACCTCAGACACAGTTATGCAAAAAGTAATACACACAATAAAAGAAAAAATAAGATCTTGTTCTGCAGTAGGCAGATATTGACATCAGTCACAGGCTTGGAAATTTCAAAGTCGACAAGCATAGACCAATTATAGTTAAATTTGTAAGACGCCAAACAAAAGTCTAACTATTCAAAAGGTCAAAGCAACTGAAAGAACATAAGATTTATGTCAAAGAAGATTTGACGAAAATGGACGCGGATGTGTTGGCATCGTGTCGTGTAAAAGACAAGTCAAATGTCGGAAAAACGTGGTGTTTGAAGGGGAAATGTACGTGAAATATACATAACAGAGATTTGCTACGCAATTACAATATAAACACTACCGCTATCGGTTTAATCTTCCGTGGCCGGAAAAGGATGAAACACATGCTTAGGATTTGAGCAAAACCCAACTACATCTAAACCGCCAAATAGTTATACGCCTCAAACATCAATCAAGGCTCCTACGCAGTATGCCAAACCAGGACTGACTTATGCAGCCGCGACCAAATGATATATCACTTATTTTCAAAAAGAAGAAAAAATGTTTTTACAAACAAGTGAATTGTTACGTGATTAAAGTTAACTCCCTTTGGTCGATTACTTTTTCCTGATGATGAATGTGCTATATAAACAATAAACTAACAAGATGACAACGACGAAGGTTGTTTCTTATTACGTATAAAGGCAACATGTATAAAAACTGCAATCTCCCAGTGTATTATATAACTCTAACTTTTGAGAAATAAATATATAAATTTATTATAAACTTATGAATTTTAAGAAAGTGATGATGAAATAAACTGCGTATTTTTTCATATTCGGTATTTTCACTATATAAAAATTTTTTTCACTGCAGTGAAACATATTCCGTATTTCATCGGTGTGTTGACAGAGTACCCTCTTCTTTATTGAGCCAATACATAAAATAAAAAAAAACAAAAAAAACAGTCTATCAAAGTGTAATATGAAAAAAAAGAAAAGAAAAAGAACATGAATGTATAAAATGAACGACAGATTATCTTTTTTCTCTGTAAATACAGGACTGATTATAGTCCTATGGTGTGTAGAATTATCCTACTCCGCACTGATGATAACTTCATATTGTTGATATTGTTTTTTTTTCTTTCCTTTCTTTCCTTTTTGTCATCTGTCAAGTAGTTTAAAAAAAACAAAAAAAAAAACAACAAAAAAACAGTCAATATTGTTTAAACATATTATCTTTTTCACCTATTGAGTAACTTGTCATTTATTGGTGTCTACTAATCCATATTTTTGGTCACATGTTGAGTATCTTTGACTATCAAATTGAATGTTTTTATACATATATTCATTGTGTCACCTTTCGAGTAGCTTTTTTAAATGACTATCAATGTTGTTTATACTTAAAATCATCTTGTCACGAGTCTTGTGGAGTAGCTTTATTAAACAACCATCAATGTTGATAATACATATACTCATTGCGTCACTTGTCTAGGAGCTTTTCAAATGACAATCAATGTTGTTTAGACATATTATCATTGTATCACTTTTCGAGTAATTTTTTTCAACGACCAGCAATTATACATATATTCATTTTGTCACTTGTCGAGTAGCTTTTTAAACGACCATAAATATTGTTTAAA